TTTAGTGGATATCAAATAAAAAAAAAATTTCGAAATTCGGTGAAGTCTAAATACCGATATGCCGTGTCATTGGTTTTTATTTGGTCCCCAAACCAATTAATTGGTTTTTCAATTTGATATATCTCGTGAACGGCGCGGCGGAATTGGATGGGACCTGCGGGGTATTAGGTAGTTGGGCAAGAGAAATTTTTTGGGATTGGTCGTTTTGGCGCCAAACTTCAGTGCGGCGCCGAAACGGCCGGTTCAAAATTTCAACGCGTTATAACGCGTTTTTGAGAACTGGGGGGTCTTGGGGCCTGGGAGTGATGTTGGAGGGTAGAGTGTGGGGAAGTTATAAATAGTTGACCACTAGAGTCTCGGGTGAACTTTTGGGGGTGTTTTGGGTCAAAGAGTCGGGGTCGAAAAGTCGACTTTTTGTAAAGTGAATTGAAACTCGATTTCGATAGCCAGATCGAAAGAGCGTCCCCTGGCGGTCAGAAAAAGGTATCATATGTTGGGGGTCCACTTGAGTCTCAAAAAGTTATAGCCATTGTGACGAAATGGCGCAAAACTTTATGAGACTCTAACGTCCCGGGGAAATTTTTTAAAATTTTTCTGAGACCGGATTCGTACTCAGCGCATGTCAGAGTACCATATAGGCCTATTTTTGACCCAAATTTCCAAAATTTTGTCCCACCCCCTATTTCCAAAGGGGTACCCCTTTTGGGGAAAATTTGGGATTTTTTGGGGGACCTTAACTTTTTTTGGGATTATCGGATTGGGATGGGGTTTCTTTTATAAAATCAAGTAAAAAATTAAGTATTTTTAGAGCGAAGAAAATTTCGACAAAAGTCGAAATTGGAGGTATAGGGGTCGAATTTCGAAAATTCGAAAAATTTTCGGTTTTTCGAAATTTTTTCGGGATTTTTGCCGGCGGTTCGAGCTGAGGGTATTTTTCCTGGATAGAGCAGAATTTTCTGCACCGGACAAGCATTTAAAATTTATAAAAAAGGTCTACTTCGGGGAAGTTATGATTTTTTGAAAATTTGGTCGATTTTTTCGGCCAAAATTTTCGACCAAAAAAATATTTTTGCCAAAATGGGTATAAATGGGCCAAATGTTATATCAATCGAGAGCCCTTATAGAGGTGAGTCTAAAAATATTTTTTTCAAAATTTTCTGACCATTTTGGCAAAAGTTATAAATGGTCAAAATTTTGGTGGTGGGCGCTACCATACCCAGTGGGGTACCAAATGAGGGGTAATAAATAAAAAATACTTACGTTATGTTGTAGAGCAACCTCAAATCCATCGAAAAAACATAAAACTTTAAGAGGAACCACTTGAGTCTGACAAAGTTATGTGGGTCAGAGTTTTCAGTGCGGGGGCATTTTGGGGCCGAAGGCCCCCAAACGAAGCCGAAGGCTGAGTGCACTTTCAAACGCTGGGTTTGGGGGGCCGAAGGCCCCTCCAAAAGCCCCGAGTCAACCCACCACAGCTACCAAAAGACACAGTATCCGTCTAAACGCTGGGTTTGGGGGGCCGAAGGCCCCCCAAACGCCCCGGATAAACCCACCACAGCTACATCAAGGCACAGTATCCAACTAATCGCTGGGTTTGGGGGGCCGAAGGCCCCCCAAACGCCCCGAATCAACCCATCTCAGCTACCTAAAGGCACAGTATCCGTCTAAACGTTGGGTTTGGGGGGCCGAAGGCCCCCCAAACGCCCCAAATCAACCCACCACAGCTACATCAAGGCACAGTATCCCACTAAACGCTGGGTTTGGGGGGCCGAAGGCCCCCCAAACACCCCGAATAAACCCACCACAGCTACCAAAGGGCACAGTATCCGTCGAAACGATGGGTTTGGGGGGGGGGGGGCCGAAGGCCCCCCAAACACCCCGAATCAACCCATCTCAGCTACCTAAAGGCACAGTATCCGTCTAAACGTTGGGTTTGGGGGGCCGAAGGCCCCCCAAACGCCCCAAATCAACCCACCACAGCTACCAAAAGGCAAAGTATCCAACTAAACGCTGGGTTTGGGGGGCCGAAGGCCCCCCAAACGCCCCGAATCAACCCACCTCAGCTACATCAAGGCACAGTATCCCACTAAACGCTGGGTTTGGGGGGCCGAAGGCCCCACAAACACCCCGAATAAACCCACCACAGCTACCAAAAGGCACAGTATCCGACGAAACGATGGGTTTGGGGGGCCGAAGGCCCCCCAAACACCCCGAATAAACCCACCACAGCTACCAAAAGGCACAGTATTCGTCTAAACGATGGGTTTGGGGGGGGGGCCGAAGGCCCCCGAATCAACCAAACTCAGCTACCGAAAGGCACTCGAAACGAAAAGGGGGCCGAAGGCCCCCTAAATGCAAAACAAAGGATTCTAAACAATTTAACGTAAATCGCCAAGCAATAAACTAAAGCTAGCGTGCTTTTAAAGCCGCAGGCTTTCCACGCGCGTCCCTGGACGCGCCCCCAAAGCTCTAGCAGCGCGCGAAGCGCGCCCCAAAGCCGTCAGGCTTTCCAAAACCAAAAAGTATCGTACCAAAGGCTCCCCCCAGCGTAACTTTACCGCCAGAGTATTACAATCCAATTCAGCTACTCACCCTGCAGCTAGTTTTGATTCTATAATATAAATAACTTAAAATATAACACTATTAATTTATTTTTATTTTAATTTTATTATTTATACACTATTAATTTATTTAAACAATCCTTTAATCTATTTTTAAAGTCCATTCCTCTTTATATTTACTTTTTCCATATTGAATAGCCCCAATAGTTTCATAAAGTTTTTTCATTATATTTATTTCTTCTGGTAATTTATCATAACTTGGAATTATTAATGTTTCGAATTCCCCACTTTTATTGTTTTTATAAATAATTTTAGATATTGGCATTACACCACAAGCCGTTCCTGTTCCAAAAAATTGCAAAACCTTTATTAAAATTTTTTTAAAGAATTGTGTTTAATAGAGGGAAGTACACGTAACTAAAAATAATAAAATTTAAATTACCCTTTCCTCATTTATGGCCTCCTTAATTTCATTTATTGTTGGATAACGTATACTAATATTAAATTCATTCCATTCTTTAGCAATCTCTAGACAGGATTCTCTAACTATACCACTAAGTACAATCCCATCTTTTGTTGGGGGTGTAATTAATTCCAATTCTTTTGTAAATTTTAAATTACTAATTTTTTATTAAAAAATAACCTCCATTTTTATCTTTTATTAACAAAAAACAATTCATAACTCCAACTTCTGTTATTTTTTCATCCTCCCCAGAAAGCCACAATACTTGATGACACCCCATATTTTCAGCTATTTTACTAACATAAATTGTTGGGGCATAATTACTTTGAAAATATAATTTAATTTAAATCTTCTTTTATACAGAAAAACCTTCCCATTTTATAATTTCCAACACCTCCCGGGAATGCTCTAGTATATTTAGAATCAGCCATTACAATTGCCGGTTGAAATCCAGACTTAAAATAAGCTCCGACTGGACATGTTATTATATATAATTTGGCACTTTTTGGACTCGTAAGATCAAAAGAAGCATCTGTTCCAATAAATGTTGGGCGAATATAAAGAGCTGAAGACGGTTGATTCGGGACCCAGTCAATTTCAATTCGAATGAGAGAAATAATTAACGACAAAAGTTCTTTTGGGTCAAAATCCTTTTTTAAATTAAAATTATTTTTAAAATAATTTTAAAAAATTAACAGGAAGGGAAGCTCTAACAGCACCACGACGCATTCTGGCAATATTCTTTTCTGGTCTAAATAATCTAACAGAACCATCTTCCCCTCTAAAAGCTTTCATTCCTTCAAAAATTTCTGGAGCGAAGTGAAAAACCTTTAAAATTATTTTTTATTTTTTTAATCTTTAAAAATCACTTTTGACGCTGGGTGTAAATTTAGATTGTGTAAAGGACAAATTTTTGGTTTGCCCCATCCTTCTGATTCTGTCCAATCAACTTCCGCCATGTGATCAGAGAAATACTCTCCAAATCTTACTTTGTTCATATCAGTAGGTTTTGGTTTTATTTCATTGGGCGAGCAAAGGGTAATAATTAAATCATTACACTAAATTAAAATTAAATATAATTTATTAATATACTTTTAGAAAATTGAAAGATTTAAAATAATTATTATTTTAATAATAAAAACTTAATTATTTTCTTACATTAAATGAATTAATTTTTTCATTTCCCAACAAATCATTATTGCTTAGATTTGTAGATTGATTAATTTTTAATTCAGAAAAATTATCCATTATTTTAATTTTATTTAATTTATGTAATTTAATTAAAATGAAAATTGATTTTGCAATTATTTTTAAAATAAAAGAATGTACTATGTAGTACTTTAAATTTAAAGATAAGAAAATTTTTTGCTAAATAAATAGAAAGGCAAATAATTCTTATGATTTTTAAGCTTATTTAATTAAATATATCGAAAAAATACATCATTGAAATAAAAATTAATTTTTTAATACCAATTGAAACCTTCTCTTTATTCGAAAGTAGGGAATTATTCGAAAATTGAGAATCAAAAAGGTATACATTTAGCATAGCTGATAGAATAAAAAATAGGGGCTCTTATAAGCTGGGCCGTAGTAATTGGAATTTAGTGGAAAAAGGTTTGAATTGCAGATGTAGGGGTAAAAATTAGTAAAATGATAGAAAAGTAATTTTAGATCAAAAAGTTGAGAAAGGTCTGAGTGTTTTGCAATGAAGAAATCTTTAACCTTCAATATATCACACAGGCGTGGACATATCTGTTAACATTTATTTATATTTGACAATAGAAATCTAGTTTTGAGATCGTTTAATTAAATACTACATGCATATTAATATCAGGGGTGTGCTATTTAACTTTCTAAGGATTTCGCCTTTTTGATGTTGGCCTTTCGCTTTTTAAATTGACTTTCACCGTTCTGTTTTTTAAAATCTGTTTCGGCACACCCCTGCTACATACATATCTCTTTCAAATATCAATTGACTATCTTCTGCTCGTTGCTTTTTGCCACTCTCCTCTAAATAGTTGATCAAATGTAATATCATCACTCATAATGCTTGGAGAAAGAACCTTAAAATAAATTTTTTTATTTTGTAATTAATTCTTTTTTATTTTTTTTGTCAAATTATTAAATGTTAAAAATCACCTGAACGGTGAAGTTCCCCTTGCTAAAAATACTTGGCGATAGGATATTTGGGCTTAACACTGTAACAGCAAAATTGGATGGCGAAAGAACTCGCGGAAGTAGAAAGTCTGTTTATATTTAAAATTAAAAGATTATTAATCTAATTATTCTTAATTTTCTAAATTTATCTATAAAAATAATTTCTAATTAAAAGATAGTTACTAACTTGGAGTAAGAACACCAGCATAGAATGTTGTTGGGTTTAACACTCGGAACTCAATAAATTTTGGAGAAAGAACCTAAAATATTTTTCAAAATACAAGAGAGCTTTCTAATAATTAATTTATTATAAGTTTACTTTTTGTTAATAATTTGTCAATAAAAATTATAAATTAATTTACTACATAATATCTTTTACCTCTCCAAGCATTGTTCTCGGCGATAACACCAAAGATGCAAGAGCTCTAGGTGAAAGTATATTTGTGTGAAAGAATTTTGGTGAAAGTATTTCTGTCCATAGTGTATTTGGTGTTAATATATTTGCAGTAAAAGCGGTCGGCGACTAAAATTTTATATTTTTTATATATTTTATTTGTTAAAATAAAATTAGTAACCAAAAAATATTTTTATTTACTCACCAAAACAGTAAGTGCCATTGCCTTTGGACTCATTATACTAGGTATAAATGCTACCGGACTTAAAACATTCAACTTAAAAATTAAAACATGAGTTACTTTAAAAAATATAAAGATACCAACCAACATAAATTTTGGACTGAGCAAAGTTGTAGCAAAAGCCTTTGGGGAAAGTATCTGAAAAGGATGTAGCTATAAATATAGTTCTAAACTTACAATAGTATTTACACCAACAACAGCATCTTGTCTCAAAATATTTGTGTAAGTAAACGGTCTCAGTGAATTTATTTGATCCGACGTATCTTCCCGTGATGAGTTCTCAGAATTTCTTTTTATTCGAGTGCCTAAAACTTTTTTTAATATTTTTAATTTCCAAAAAGACTGCTTACTTTCCATTTCCCCCATTCTACGAATTTCTTGCTCGAACAATTCCTCGTCTAATATTGGCCATTTCCTTATTTTTCCTCTGTTGAATAATTTTCCAAACTGTCTCTTATCTAGAAAAGTATAACCATGTGTATCAAGCATTTTATTCTGCAGAGCTGTGAGGCTTTAATAAAAGGAAAGTAAATTTTTTGTTCTACATATATCATTTACTTGTTTTGTATAGACTTCCAGCGCCTTTCCAAAAGTTCCAATTTAACCAAAGCCGGATATAGTTCATCTTCAATCATCTTAGCTTTTGTTTCAATCTCGACAATTAATTTGTCCAAAACACCGGATACCCCCGATAATTCAATAAATTTGTCGAGAAGTTCAACAAGTTCTTGCTCGTTACTCGAAGCATACTATTTTAGTTTAAATTTATTATCTTTCAATTTTAAAATTACCCCAAATAATGTTGGTAACGATAAAATCCCTTCATTTTGAAAACTCAGCAATGTGGGAGAGAGGAATCCATTCATATTTATTCTATCATTATTCATTTTATTTGGAAATAATGAAAAAAGTTTTGGAGATAAGATTGGCAATGCTTCGAATGAATAATTGGAAAGGAGATTTTGCAATTCCAAATCCAATGATTCAAGTTTTGAGCTATCCATCAAGAATCGAAAAGACTGAGAATTAACTGGACTTTGTGTCTGTGTAGTAATAATATCCTCAAGAAAACTTAAAAACAAATACATAGATATTTTTAATTTAAAATTTTCAAAGTAACCGAGAATTGGCATCTCCCATTCTCGACAAATGTTTTTTACAAAATTCATATTTTTCTAAGAAGCGCTGAACACGCCGAAGCTTTTCAATATTATGTGTATTTTTGATATCTCTATTCATTTTTGCATTACTAAAAATTAAAGATTTTTTCGAACAGTTTGGACTTAATTTGGATATCCATAATATTGGTACGTATTTATTTATGGAAATAAAACTGACCGTCTCCGTCTCATTCTATTAGGATTTACGGAAGTCAAAGTTCTCGGCTCTTTACGATTTATTTTGTTATTTCTCGATTTTGTACGATGAAAGTTTAGTTGTTGTAGTGGAGATCGAGATCTTCTCTGAAATAAAGAGTCAAATTAATGAGGTAAAAGTTAGTTAAAATTTAATAAAAATTAGTAAAATTTAATAAAAATTTAGAAAAGACTCACCATAACCTTGCGCATCCTCAGCGTCCGAATTATTTGTTCGAATCGCCCCGCTTTAACATTCGTTTTATCTTTACTAAACATAGTTTTTCCATTAATTCCAATACTTTCTAATCCATGAAGTAGCCATGAACCAATCTGCCCAACTAATCCTCGTTCTTCTTTGGCTGAAACTTTTCTAGTAATTCGAACTTCATTTTCAATATTATTTATTTCTTTTGTAATTCCTTTCTTTCCTTTTTCTTTTAATAATGGTACAATACACCTCGCTAATTGTGCTGCTGTTGTGGCTATATATTTAAGGGATAATTTAGGTATATTTAATTAGCTTTAATCACTTTCTAGAAGAGGATTATTTTAAATGGACCAACACTAAGTATATAATGCTAAAAATCAGTAAAACCCACCTTCCTCCTCACATTGTTCGTACAGTTTCTTCTCTGCATAAAAGAGATTCGGCAAAGAGAGTAATGAGTGGGCCTTACTCTGATAAATATAATTTAAAATTAAGCAAGTAAAGGATTATTATTTTAGCTTTGATCTGATAAGAATAACTCTTTCTACCTTTAACAAAGCAAAAATAGCAACATTGTAAAGGAGCAAGTCCAGCTTTTCAGGATTTAATTCCAACTTGCTGGTAGCAATTCGTTGTTGTTCACCCATTTCATCCTTTTTTTGTATTGTTGTAGTGATTTTCGAAAAAGTTTTGTTAATTTTTGCCCAACACTCTCTACAATATAAATTCAATGTAAACAGGATTACAATAATAACTAGTATTGAATAATTTTCATAAGAATAATTCATTGTTGTTAAATTTTATAATTTTTATGGCCAAATTAATTATAATTAATTTACCTAAAGATAAAGGTAAAATTGATAATGGGAATTGTTTCAGAATTTTTTCAGGACAATTATATTAAATTCCTAGGGAAATTATGACAGAAAAATACATTTAAGGGTTCATGAATACAATTTTCATTTTTTGTATAGATTTGGCATTAAATAATTATTTATTTGAATGAATGAACTAAACAACCTGTGATTAACCCCATCGCTATTACCGCTTAAAACTTCGATAATATACTATATCCAGTTTTACCGGTATTTAAATGGGAAAGGAAATTTTTTGTTAAAAACGGTGAAAGTGTAATCCTGTGTCAACAAGACGCAACAACCAACTAAAAATATATACATAATTCTAATCTAAAAGAATAAAATTAAACGAGGAAATTTTTTTAATTACAGCAAATTTTAATGGCAATTTTAATGGCTATTGTTTAATTTTTACAAACTTGCTAAAATTACACTCAAGAAAATCTAGGAATCTTTTTCAATAAAAGTAATTGTTTAATGCGAAATAATATTTATTAATTTACTTTTTACTTTTAATACATATGTATAATTTAGCTAAAAGACAAATTAAGGAAATCTGATTTCGATATGGATATGAATTATGAACTGAGAAATAAACAAACCATAAATACATATTTATATATCCGCATTTTTAGTTCAATCTTTTAATGAAAAATATTTTTAAACGTCTGTTTCAATGAGATTATCGTCTATATTATTTTTATTGTTCACAGCTTTGAAAATTTTATTTTATTAAACGCGTGACATTATTATAAGCTAACAAGCTTTACCATAAAAATAAGCCTATAGAATTTCAAACTTATATTAGAATTAAAGTATATCTATTATTTTGTAAAAGTGCTACCAATAATTTTTAGAGAATTGATCAAAACGTTTATTTCTGCAATACAGTTTTGAAATAATAAATTTAATTTTTAGTAGATTAATTAAAAATCTTATTTAATGTTTTCTTTCATTTCTCTAAGTTGTGTCAAATTCCAAATATTGTGTTCAATCTCGACGCTTCAAAACAGCCTTTGCATGGCTTAATTGAATGAATCCATGCTTTCCATGATAATTTCCAATGCCGCTATTTCCAACACCGCCAAAAGGCAAATCTGGAATCCCCGCGTGCTTAATTATATCGTTAACAGTGACGCCACCGCTGGATGTACTTTGCAAGAATTTTTCCATTTTCTTATCATTCTCTGTGAACAAATATGCACCAAGAGGCTGTAAAAAAATTAATAGGGATCTTCACTTATTTTTATATTTTAATTTCTAGAAAACATTTTTAATTTTAAAAATTAAATTTGTACCTTCTCTCCATCATTAATTATGTCAATAGCCTCGTCCATATTTTTTACTGTCAAAATAGGAAGAACTGGGCCAAAAATTTCGTCTTGCATTAGAGAATCCTTTATATCAGCTTCAACGATTGTCTGATTTTCATCAATATTTTATTAAGTAACTGGTTTTTCATTTAATAAAACTCACCGGTGGAATAAAAACATCGGCCCGATCGTGTTTACCTACTTGGTGAATAACCTTCCCCTTGCTAGCCTTCATCATTTCCATTACCCGATCAAAATGACGCTGATTGACCATTCGAGAATAATGAACACTTTTTTGCGGATCAGAACCGTACATTTTGTTGATGGATTTTTGCAACGCTTCAACCAATTTTGGCTTAGTTTCAGATGTGGTCATTATATAATCAGGCGCCAGACATGTTTGTCCACTATTAAGCCATTTGCCTTCGGTAATGCGTTGAGCGGCTTTTTCAATATCAGCATCATTCTCAACAATAACGGGACTAAAAAGTACTTTATTTAACTTTGGAATTTTTGGATTAAAAGAATTTTCTCTCTCTACTAACCACTTCCCACCCAATTCAAGTGTAACAGGCGTCAAATGTTTAGCCGCAGCTTGCATTATTATTTTTCCAATATTGGGGCTACCAGTGTAGAAAATATGATCAAAACGTTCATTAAGTACTTCTTTTGTTTCTTCCGCACCACCTTCGACAACGGCAATGAAGTTCTTGAAAAAAAATTTTTAAACTTGAAAGATTTTCCAACCTAAAGTTAAAAAACTTTAAGAACCTTTGGAAATGTTTTATCAAAAAGCTCCTTCATCAAATGAGAAGAGTTTGCCGATACCTTTGGAAAATTTTCAAAAAAATTATATAATTCTAGAAGAATTTAATACCTCCGAAGGTTTGATAACAACTGTGTTGCCTAATTTAATAAAAAAATAATTTTAATATAATTTTAAAAAGAAATTCTTTTCCAAAATTTCCAACAAACCAGCAGTTATTGCTTCAGCAGCAGGTTGAATTACCAACATAACAGGATAATTCCAAGCCCCAATTACTAACACAACTCCTTTTGGCTCATAATGGATTTCTGGTTCTCCAAGTTTATTGGTAGGAGCCTTTTTAAATATTTATTTATTTTATTTTAAACGATGAGAATTTACTTTATGAGGTTTTGCCCATTCATCAATATTTTGAAGACACAAGTCTATAGTTGCTTTTGAGCCCCCAACTTCCATTTCCTTATTTAATTCCTTGTTGCGACGCAAATCTTTATAAACTGCTTCAACTATGCGCTCAACATTATTTTCAATCATAACACGCAACTTTTGGAGTTGTTCTTTACGGAACGCTAAAGATTTGGTAGCGCCTGTTCTAAAGAATTTTCGCTGATTGGCGACAATCTATTTTTAATTTTATGTAAATTTACATATGTGTTTTTTAGTAATTTATTCACCTCAGCTATATTTGTTGCCATACTTGAATTAATAAAAAATTAGGATTTTTAAATTTAATTCTATAATAGTAAATTTAATTTTAAATTAAAACTCTGATAAATAATGTAAATAAAAATAAAGTTAAAGATTACAAAATTTTCTTCATAAATATACTAAAATGATTGGTAAAAGAGATTGATAGGGGAATAACCATTCTTGACAGATTACTCTATAAATCAAGAATATATGTATTCAATTTTAATTAGAAAATGGGAAAAATTTTTGAGAGTTTAAAAGATAATTCCTCCTATTTGCTTAAAAATATAAGAAATAAATAAGAAAATGGCCTTGAATGGAGATGAAATTATTATTTATATACTAAATAAATATTATCAGAAAAATAGTTTGTTATTAATTACTCCGTTAGATAATTTATTTTCTTGTCAGCAAAACAAATAACAAAATAAAATTTCTGTTGAAGTTTGTGGGGGGTTTATACTTTATTTTTGCTGATACAAATATGTATAAGATGTTTCCATAGAGATCAACATAATTGAGAAATAAATATTAGTTGAGACAATAAAACAGAAAACTTTTAAGTAAAATTTAATTTCCTCGACACATTTTAATAATTTATTTTTGCTGAGAACACAGAATAAGAATATTTTTATTTTGTGTTTAGCTGGCAAAACTGAATAAAATAAGTGCACATTTGATGTCAGCATAATTAAGAACACAAGAAAAAAAGACAGGGAAATGAGAACGGATTCAGTTTTAATTTTGACTTTATATACGGTAGTGGGGGCTGAAACGGAGTTGGGACTTAAACTGAAGCTGAAAAAACTGAAACGTGTGAACTTAAATGGGTTGTATGTATCTGTATTTGATCGGAAGTTAAGAAATATAAAATTTGCCTTTTCTTTAAATTATTAAAAAAATATTTATTTAAAAATATAAAACAATTATGTGAATATAAAATTACAATTTAAAAAAAATATTCGAAAAAACCTAGATATCAAAATTTTTAATTAAAAATTTATGTAAATAGTTTTTCTAACGAAAATTAAAGGCAACAAAAAATATATAACAATTTATTTAATTAAATTATTTAATTTCAATTCGTTTTAATTCTTCAGAAAAATTTTGCCAAGGCCATATTGATTTAATTTGTTCAGTTAAATCAATTAAATCGGATTTTGGATTATTTCCTTTAAATAAATTAAATATTTATTTTTTCTCCAATTTTGTATACCTTCAATAACAGCTTTACGTAAATAAGGAACTAATTTATCATTCCAAAGACGAATAAACCATTCTTTGGCTTGATCTCCATCTAATGGACATTGCAGTAATATTCTAGGTCCTAAAGTAACATTAGAGCCTCCATTGGCTGTTCTCTCAATAAATTCGTTAATTAAATAGAGAGAACGATTTAGAAAGTCAATCAAAGAATCCAAAGAAGTTAATGATAAGGAGGAAGGGAGGGATGTAGAAATTGAAGATAATGTTTGTTCAGCCATTCTACGACGTAAATATCGTCCAAGATATCCTAAATAAGAAATAATTAATTTAAAGTGAGTCTCTGAAATTGATTGGAGTCTCTGAATTTTATTGCCTTGAAAATTAAAAAAATGTTTGCAACTGCCGGGAATCGAAAATTCATTGGAACGATAAAATTGTGAGTTATTAGAGACATAAATGAAAGCCCCTCCAATGTATTATTTGTTTAATAAAAATTTATTTAGCTCAAATTATCTGAAAGATAAATAGGTATATGCAACGCATTTGGATATCAACAGAAACCAGTTTTGAAGAAACGAAAATAAAAGAGATAAAATAGTAAAAATAATTAATTCTCATATAGCAACGGTGGTTCAGTGGTAGAATGCTCGCCTGCCACGCGGGCGGCCCGGGTTCGATTCCCGGCCGTTGCAAATATTTTTTGATTTTTATATTTTTTTAGAATATTTTTAATAATTTTTTTCTCTTCTTTTTCAAAATCTAAACAAACCATTAACCGCTTCCATTTTTTGATTTAGCGGGCAAAGATGGAAATTATGATGAATTTGTAATTTTTGTATAATTAATTGTTCGGTTAAATTAGTTCTATTAAGTGTGCAAATAATAAAAGGTTTATTATTTGTTGATTTATTTTTTGAATCAAAAGATTGGAAAACATCAAAAACAATTCCATTTAGATATTTTAAAGGTAAATTATCTAATAAAATAAATGTTGAAAATAAATTATTTTGTTGGGAATTTAAAGAAGTTAATAATTGCTCTTTTGCCTGAGAAAGAATAAAATTTAAATTTAAATTAAAAATTAAAAAAAAATGCCTGTTGGATTTTAGATTCATTTTCTATCAAATTATTATTTTCTGTAGGAAAATGTATTTCAATTAAAGATTTATTATTTAATTCTATATTAAATTTCATTAAATAATATTTTGCAATTAAACGAGCTAAATTAGATTTTCCAATTCCGGCAGTTCCAAAAAGAATTAAACGGCGATATTTCTCCAATTGGTCAAGTAATTGTTCAAGTAAATTTCTTGGAAATAAACTTTCAAGAACTAATGAGTCAACCGAATGTTGTGCTACTCCTTTAAATAATTTATTTTAAAATTGAAAATATTTATTTTAAAATGGTGGCAGCTAATGTGATTGTACCAATCCTAATACTATGAATAGTTGGAGAAAGTTATTTAAATATCCGAAATACACTTCTGTTCATCAATTAAAATTAAAACGAAGTAACCCTAGTTGCCAAAAAATTTGAAAAAGAAAATTAGGTTAAAAAATGGTCAAACGTCCGGTTAACCATTATTATTGTTAAGGAGAATACCAGTAACCTATTGAGTATCAAATTGTGTAATCCTCCAACTTAAGCTGATTTTTCATTCGAATTTAGTAAAAGCTACCTCTCAATCTCAGTCTAATTAAAGTTCCTGGCAGTAAAACTTCTTCTGGAGATAATTTTGGAGTCAATTCTTCTGATTCGTTATTTTTTATATTTAAATATTCATCAACTGAATTTCTTTTTCGAATTAACCATTCATTAGGTAATCCCAAAGAATTTTTCGGAATTATTTGATAACCAATAATACTCGAATAAGAATCAACACCCAATGACAAATCTGGATCTATTCGGTCTTTAAATTTAAATTAATTAAATCTAATTTTTTAATAGACTAACGAAGATATTCTTCCAATAAAAGCCCTAATTGCTGGTCTAAATCATTCCAATTAATTCCCTCAGCCAAAGGAAGATTTAAATGTCCAATTGAAAGTTCTCTTCGTTTATTTCCACATCCACTTAAAGCACTTCCAAGAGAAGAAAGTGTTGAAGAAGAACCGGAACTTGCACGAGAAATTGAAGTTAAAGAACAAGAAGAAGATGGAGGAGGTAGGGCTGATAAATTACTAGAAGAATCTATATTTAAACGTCCACTCATATCAACACATAAAACAACTTTAATAAATTGTTGCTGTTGTTGATTTGCTAAAAGAATTTTTGGATAAAAATTGCTTTAGAATATCTTAAGTGGACCCCTTATTTGGTCAGAATTAATATTAAAATTTATGTCAGAAATATAAAAATATTCCCAACAAATTTTCAATAAAATTTTTTCCGGTCCTATGTTTAATAAAAAAAATTATTTACACACATTTCGAAATATTAGACCCAATACTAGTTCTCTGACTTTTATTACTACGCGCTTCTAAACTACTTCCTGTTGTTGTTGTATTTACAGAAAAATCTCCACTAGAAGGAGAAGAAGCAACAATATCATATAAAGGTAAATTAGAATGTTCAGGTACTTCTAATAATTGGTTAGCTGCCTAAAAATTATTTTAATCAGATTTTTAAAAATGTTTATTTTACTTCTTCCAAAGCATCAACATCCAAATCCCCTCCTCCACAATCTGGAGGACCACCAGAACATAAATTTGTATTCAAAGATATATGAGAACTTGCTCTTGATTCAGAACGAACACGACGTTCAAGTAAAGAAAAATTATATTTTAACATTCGATTTTCATGCTAAAATTGAAAAAAAAAATTTAGATATATTTGACAGGAAATGTTGTTCAGATAACAGGAAATCTTGTTGTGTGTTCCCCGTTACTTCCCTGTAATTGACAACCTTCCTCGTATTTGTAATAACCTTCCATGCTTTAATAAGCATCACTCGCGCCTAAAAGATCCCAATCCACTTGGACTGAGTTTTGTCCGACCGAGTTCTGTCTGGATCGAGTTTTGGAAGACCAGGTTTTGCCCCTCACCCATTTTTAAAGAATTATAAATTAAAACTACTTGTAATTTATTAACAGTTTCTCTCAAAATATCAATTTCTTTAGCTTTATCAAGAGCATCTAATTGTACATCAGTTAACGCCAATTCTTTATTTTCTAATTCTTTTTTTAAAGAATTAACATAAAAAGGCTGTTCATTTCTTTAAATTAGAAAAGAAATAATTTTTAAATAATTGTTCTTTTTTAAATTTACTTTTTCCCATTTTCCTCGTTTATTTTTTGTTGTTTTTCTTCTTCATTTATTTGTTGTTGTGTTTGTTTGTTCTTTTTGCTACTTCCTTTTTGAAAAGCACGAGTAAAAGAACTTCGAATCTAAAATAAAATATGGAATTACTTTAAAAATTCAAAAAAACTTTAATAATTAAAACACAAACACAAATAATTATTACGAACTGTGGCAATAATTTAGAGAGAATATTTTTTGGTAAAGGATACTTTTGTTTTTTCTATATACATATCAGAAAAATATATAAGGAAGAAAATTCTCTATACCGTAAATGCTGAAATAATGTCCCTCTCTTAAATAATTACCCCCTCCAGCGAGAGGTTGAAACAATAATTACCATGGGTAATTATATTAGCGAATACGGTATATTACTTAGAAAAAAAAATTAGAAATTTGATTATTTAACAAATTGAGATAAAAAAGGACAACCACAAAGACTATAACTACTATTTACACTATACATTGCCACTAACCTGATTATCTACAACTACATTAGATTTCTTAAATTTTTGAATTATTTTTATTTTTTAATTGAATATTAATTTTTAATTAAAAAAATATTTTTAATTAAAAAAATTTACCCATCCAGCTTTTTTCCCTCCTCCATCTGTTTGTTCTCTTCCAACAGAAGACGATTTTTCATTTATTATTTTTATATTTTTTTCTTTTTCAATTTCTTTATTATCAGAAGGTGGTGGTAAAGAATTATTATTATTTTCTTTTTTAATTAAATTTAATTGTTGTTGTTCTTTAGGTACAACACCGGCACTAATACTTAACGAACGTAGATGTTCAATTTCCCGACATAATCTTTCAACCTCATTTCTCTTTAAAAATTTAAAAAATAATTTTTAATTTAAAATTTATTTAATCGCATCATCGGCCCCCACTTTTATTTTTTTCGCTATTTCTCCTTACCTATTTTTACTTATTGTCAAGGTATAGAATTGTTATCAAGAACCAAACCGAGGATATGTCTTCGAAATCCGGTTCCGGATACCCAAAAATTTTAATGGCTATCTGTCATTAATTTTGTTTCTTCTGATTCCCGTTCTTGGACTAAACTTGAATTTAAATTACTTTTTGTTTCCTTATATCCGAAAAATTTCTTTCATATACCATTATGCACCTTTGACCATTTTCAGAAAACAAAAAGTAGAGAAATGACAGAAAAGAAATAAAAATACGGGCCGATAATTCGAAAGTACTATACTTACCTTAACATGTCTTTTTTGTTGTAATTTAGACAAACTCAACATAATTGTTTGTAATTTCGAATCAAATATTTGTAACATACAATTATATCCACTATGTCTTTGATTAAGTAAAGAAACTGTTGTTCTATAAGATTCTAATTCATTTTGAAGTTTATTAACTTCCCATTCATAACGTTCTTCTATCTACAAAAATTAATTTAAAAAAAATAAATCTTAAAATTATTTACAGTATTTGTATAAGCAGAACCAAGAGAAGAAACTAAAGAAAGTTGTGAGCCTGGTTGTTGAATAATTTCATCTGAAGAAATTAATTGAATTTTGTTGGGGGAATTTAAACAACTATTAGTTGCAGAAGAAAACTTTTGTTGTCCATTATTGTTTTGAAGGTTGGAATAAATACGTGATGAACCTAAAAAATGGTAAGATATTTAAATATTTTATTAAAGATAGAAAAAGGGGGAATTAAATAATAATTTTTTGAAAAAAATATTTTTTTAAATTGAAGCAAAGCGTTTTAAAAAATAAAAAATGTTTTTGGAAATTAACTAAAAAAATAAATTAAAGCAAATAAAAAAAGGAAAGGGCATATAGGTATTTGCGGATAAAGGATAATCATAGTTATTGAAGAGATGTGGTAAAAATAAGACATAAATAATTATTAGGGTTTCACCGGAACCAAAACTTTGAACGGAACCGGAGCCAAAAAACGCCAGAACTTTTCGGAACCGAAACTTCCGCTGAAACCCTAATAATTATCCCTCAATTAATAACCAAAAAAATTTTTCAAAAAAATGTATCCGCAAATATCGGGCAACCAAATAAAAAAGCATATGCATATTTAAAAAAGCTAAAATTATTACCATCATTTTTAGGTAAAGAAAGAGGTACTCTTTGCAAAAAATTAGGGGATATTCCTGTCCTTCTTGGTGGAGGTAAAGGTATTTGTTGCTGTTGTCTTTTAATATTTCTTTTATTTTGTAAATTAATTAATTGTTGAATATATTCAATTACTCTACTTTCTCTACTATTTTCTAAATAATTTATTAAATTATTTCTTTCATTAATTTTTTGTTGTTGTTCGTTAATTTGTTTTGTGTCATTAACAACAGTTACCATTGAACGGGACATTGCTGAAAGAGAAGCTGAACGTTTATTTGAAATATTATTTTCTTCTTCAAAAATTGCACAAGAACGTGCTGAACTTTGTGGACGGTAATTTTGAGTTAAATTATTTAAATTGTTGTTTTGATGAAATTGAACTTAAAAAATAAACAAAAGGCTTTGAAAGCAAAAGCAAAGAAAACAAAAGAAAAAGCTTTTTAATTATAGGTTAATTTTTATAAAATAAATATAGAAGAGTTAGTAGTTGTTTTAGGTAAATTTTAAAAAATAAAAAATTTAACTAATGAACTTGTGATAGGTACCTAAGTAAATTTTTAGTCATACAATTGCCCCCCCCCCTCCCCCTTCTCCACTCCTCTCTGGCCAATAAAATTTTATAAAGAGTGTATTTAATGGGCATTATACCTATATCATTATAAAGAGCGTATCGAGATGAATCGAAAGGTACCAAAGTCATGCAGCATCATTTTTGACCCCTCAACAAGTGGAAGTCAAAATGAGTTGGATCAAAAAACTGTTAAGCATTTAAGTTACGAGGGAGGGAGAGGGACGGTGAGTAAAAGGTAATAATTTTTTAATAATTTCTATCAAATTTACTTAAAATACCAACCATTATTTGACCCAATTTTCTTATCTTGTTGTATCATTTGATTATTTGGAGTAGATGCAAAAGTAGAAGATGGATAGGCAAAATGTCTTGGACTTATTAATAAAGAATTGAATTGATTATTATTTGAAGGAAATTGTTTTGATTGGTTAGTTGTTGTTGTTAATTTAATATTTCCATTACGTATTGGATTATTATTAATAACCCCATTATGTATTGGAGGGATTCTTGGCTGTTGAAATATACGTAAGTGTGCATGACGGTCTAATGAATGGGTGTGATAAGCTGGGTGACGAATTGGAGAATCTTTAGAAAAAAAAGTTTGATGATAAAAAATTTATGAAGTTAAGAAATTTTTGGTGAAAACCTTTATGAAAAATTTTAGAAAAAAGTTTGAAAATTTTAATACATTCTAAAATTTTTAATTTTGGCTTCAATATAAGAATAATTAACAAATTATTATACATATAACTCTTAATTTCAAACTTACCATTAATATTTTCCCCAATTTCCTGTCCATTTACTTGAGGACGTCGCCCAAATGCAGAAGAACGCATATTCCCCAACATTTGTTGTTGTTGTCCACCTATTTCACCAGCAGCAACACTCAACGTATCACCATCATCACTGAGTGCCATTAAATGGTGGGGAGGGGAAAGAATTCGACGTTGCTAAATTTTTGGGAGAAAATTAAAAATATTTTGAAAGATTTTAACTAAGTAAAATTCTTTAGCTAAATCAGTATTTAGAAAAAGGATTTAAAATTACTTGATTTCGTTGTTGTTGTATTTGTTGAAAATTAGCAGAAGTAAATGTATGGTAAGCACGGAAATGAGAAGATTGGGATGTGGAAGACTGAGGGGAATATTCTTCAAAAGCTCCTCCAGAATATTGGGGAGGTTGAGCATAAAAATTGATATTTGTGGATTCTTTTGGATCTGTCCATTGTGTTCCAGAATTATTTACAGAATTACGCAAAAGGATATGACCACCATCGCTCGAAGAAAAATGTTGCTGAAAATATATTAATTAAAAATAGAGTTCAAAATTAGTATATTTTTGGAAATAGTTCTTGATTAATTGTATTTTGATTAAAGAACCTAAAAAGACTCATAACTCGGACCATGTCCGAGTTATGAGTATAAAATTTTATTTTAAGAAAAAATATTTTTAAAGTAAAGGAATGCTTATTTTGACACTTTTGGACAAGAAATAAGTAAAAATAAAATCTTAGAATGGCCAATTTCTCCAGTTAGTAGTTGTTGGCCTACCCACAACTCATTGGAATAAAGGAAGAAGACACTTCCCCCCCCCCCTTTCCCCCCATTTTTCTATATTTTAGTGTTTCTTTTTTTCAACTGAAACGACAAATTAGCCTTTTACATTTAAAGCTATGGATATAAAAATTTTGATGAGAAAGCAGTTGAAAAATGCAAATGAGCTCTTTCCGAGAAAATACTTTTTTTCAAATTTTATTTTGTTTATGTCCATCTTTCCCTTTTTTCTTTTAATATTTTGAGTAATTCTTTTTTTTTTCTTATATTTTTGCCAAATTTAAAAAGAATTACTTTGCTCTCGCGCTCCTCCCTTTTTTGGACATTTTTTGACAATTTCTCTGAGGCTTTATTCTTTCATTCCTTCGCGCTTTCTTGTCAATTTATTTCAAATAAATTTATAAAACCCCAAATATTATTTCATAAAACACTCCAAATTTTGCAATTTTTTATTTTCATTCTTTACAACTTTTATAAAATCCCTTCATTTATTTGGTTAAATTAATCTATCAAAATGTCAAAAAATAACCAATTCCGGAGGGGACAAAATGGCTACCCTACAAAACATATTTTTTTAAAACAGCAAACGCTCAAAACATCTAGACGACTAAAAAGGCTCAAAATATATTCGCTCAAAACATCAAACGCTCAAAATATCTAGACGGCTAAAAAGGCTCAAAATATCAAAATATTTTTTGATTAAAAGGGACAGTTGAGTCCAATGTTTCTTCCTTGTATCAGGGGTGAATAATGTAGTATCTCAGGACCAATTTTGCATGAACTCGACGTGTTGAGAAAGGGCTCGACGAGCTGAGTTGAATGACACCAAAATCAGCTCGATTGGATGATTGTGAACAAAGTTATGACCAACTGAATCTTCGCTGGAAAAACTGTTTTTGTGCTGCTACGGAGGGTAGGCCGGGCATGGTCTTCGCTACACGATGGCCGTGCTTCGCTGCGGTCGTGCTCGCTTCGCTCGCGGCGACCGTAGCGAAGCGGCGGCCGTCGTTCCGCTCGACATGCCCGGCTTCCTCCGCAGCGGCAAAATTTTTTTCCGCGGACTCAACTGTCCCCTTTAAATGAAAAATATATTTTGATATTTTGAGCGTTTGATGTTTTGAGCGAATATATTTTGAGCCTTTTTAGTCGTCTAGATGTTTTGAGCGTTTTTACCCGTCTAGATATTTTTAGCGTTTTTAGTCGTCTAGATATTTTAAGCGTTTGATGTTTTGAGCGGGCACGGACAAAATGAGTGGGTAGCAAAGATTACTTTTTTGAACCCAAAAATAATGCAAATTTAAAGAAATTGCTTATCTTATTTAAAAAATCTTTTATTTTTTAAATTTTATTTTTAATAAATTAGCTAAACTATTTTGTAATTAGTACTAAAATAAATATTAAAATGTTATTTATTTGGGGTTTTAATTTTATTTTATTATTTTTTACATCACATTAATTTTTAATAGAAAATTTTTTATATTTTAATAGATTAGTCATCTAAAATGATTAGATAGGAAATCATTAAAATTATAGAAAATTAGGTATTACAAAAAAGTCAAAAAATATGTATAAATGTATATTAAATATAATTATAGTTAAAATTAATTTATGTATAATTTTTTTAATTTAATAAAATTAAAAATTAAAGCAATTTAAAATAAAATAACAAGAAATTTTTATTTTTATTATATTTAAATAAAATAATTAAAAACTCACAACATTATTTCCGCTACAAGATGTTGAAGGTCTTGTAATATCAGAAGTTGTAGCAACACTATAACGATTATTGTTGTTTTGTTGCTGCCATTGTTGAGGATTTGTTGGCATTTTCTGTTGTTGAATCCATTTATTTGAAACAGGCATTCCGGTCCCTAAAGGTCCCATTAAATTTGAAGGAGAACCTCTGAAAATAATTAAAAATGAGGAAAATGCTTATTTAGGCTTTACCTATTTTGGATTGAACGCATTTTTGGTGGTTGGATAAATTGTTGCTGTCTTTGAGGGGGATGGGGAGCTCGAAACCCAATAAATTCCATATTTGGATGTTTTTCTGGAGAATTTTGATCGCCTGAAGAACTTGCAGTAGTTAAATCAGAAGTAGAAACTTGGTAATCGTCTAATGGTTCGGAAAGGGCACTGGAAAGGGACGAACATGAACTGGCTGCATAACTAAAAATTTAATTAAAAATTATGGCCAAAACTAATAAAAATGATGAATAATAATTTTTATATGTAACTAAAATTAAAATAGTGATTTTATAAAAATAATATTTATTATTAAAAACAAAAATTTAGTCAAAACCTTTTTAGTTAAATTATATATAGAAAAATTGTCAAATTGGCCAGAATAAAAATACTTTTTTTTTAAATATTGAGTGACCACTCTCTCTCTCTTTTAAAAATAAAAATATCCACTCGTTGGCCAAGTCTCTCAATTATTTGACAATTTCCAGCTAACACCCCCCCCCATTATTTGCACCTTTAGTATGTTACTACCCGCGAAATTTATTCACTCATGCAGCTTTTAATGTAAATATTTTTATAGAATTAAATATATAAATTGTTTGTATTTAAAATTAAGCAACAATTCAAAAATGAAAAAAGAGGGAAGAGAAAAATATTTTTTAATATTAAAAGTAATTTTTGCAGTTTTGTAGTTATTTTAGAGAAAATCCTCAAAAGCATTGTTTAAAAAAGCAATAAAAAGACCAAAAAACGATTAAAAAAGAAATAACCATACAAGTCTCCATGGGATAAAAAATACTTTAAACTTCAAGTGAATGGCACGGACAATCCCTTTAAATGTTTTAAGTTGTCTATAATAATGACCCATACTTTAAAAATTGAAAATTGAAAAAAGTTAAACATTAAAAATTCTTGGGATTTTAAATGATATTTTTGAATAAACCAATAGGTATTGGATACTATTTTAATTATCATTTTATATTTTGGAACCAAAATAATTAAACAAAAACGTGTCTAAAAACTGATTGCAGCATTTTTCTTTAATATTTTTTACATATGTATATCTAAGTCAAATAAATCTTAAAATTGTTCAAGAAAATAAAAAGTATAATAATAATCCTTTTATTGTCAAGCAAATTTATATTTATCAAGAATAAACAAAAATAACAAAATATCTCATATCGGTGTATTAATTAAACATATAAAGACGTTGGTAGGTGGTCCATAAATAATTTTTAAAAATATATAATATAGGATTATTATTTTTCTGTTGCAGCTGTTAAGAACATAAATAAAGCCAAACACAAAAGAATAAAGAGCACGAATTTCGATGGAGATTTTTGGGATTTAATTCTGTCGCCTGCTGACAGAATTAATCCTTTGAGGGCAGGCAGAAAAGGTTAATATGTAGTAAAAGAGGTAAAGGACGGAAGAAAATGAAATTGAGAGGTAAAAAGAAGATCGGATGACTAAACAAAAATATATTTAAAAAGGCGCCAGATTCCCTTAAAAAGCGGTGACTGAAAAGAAAATTTAGAAGAAGAATACACTCGAATAAAAGCCTTATAAAATGTTTTGATTTAAATTTAATTTTTTATACAAAAACTTTATTAAATTAATTTAAAATTAATTTAAAAATAAGTCGTTAGATTAAATAAGATATTGTTTGTTAAATATTGTCAAAATAAAAATAATTGCAACATCTAAAGATAAACATATGTTAAGTGAAGGAAATGTAATGAATACAAAAAAACAAGTCCAAGAGTTGTTGGAAAAAGAAGAAACAAATGTACGGATGTCTTTTTTATAAATAAATCTTGTAATTAAAAGATAAAAGAGGAAATGTCTCAAGATGTTTGTAAAACAAATTAAGAACATAAAAAATATTTTAAATTTTAATTGAGATATATTTATTTAAATTAAACTAAATAAATTGGGAGGAATTTAGAAATTTACAAATATATACTAACAATTTTTGGTTGAAAAAAAAATCGCGCAGCAGATGTGTCAGTAAAAGCAACAAAAAAATGTAAAATATATTTAAAAATTGATTGGCCTTGGATGTTTTGAATTTGAAGGGAATTGTGGGGAAATTTGAAGGTAAAAAAGAAAGGATTTGTCGAATAATTTATTTTTGGTTTAATTTTCTTTTTAATTCTTTATACAAAAACTTTGTTCTCAATTTTTGGAAAGAAATTAAAAAATACTTTTCTTAATATAAAGGTTCACATTCCAATATTTTCATCAAAAAATTGTAAAATTAAAAGAAAGAAATTTTAAAGTTTGGAATTAATTAATAAATAAATCCTTTCCTCTCTTGGAAGAAATATTAAATTAAAATAAAAAAAGGAAAAGTTGACTAAAGTTATAATATATCTCAATGGTATACATATGTATATCCTCATAATTGTTATAAACTATAATTCATCAATTCGAGGCTATTCTCCAAAAATTTAGCCGGAACTAGTAACCTCTATAAAGGATTAACTTCCACTTATGTATGTATATTTAACATTCACTGAACTTGAGTTATAACGGAAATCAACTTATACGGATTAAACTTAGTAAATATATATGGTCATTCTCTATATTTTACTTTTAGGGTTGGCTGAATAACCCAAAACAAAAGATCACCCAAATGGGGATATTCACTAAAACCCCTTATACTCTTCAAAATATACATATATTCCCGAGAGAAATGGCGGTTTGTAAAGGTTATATAGCTATATCTGTTGGTGGTTGTGACGCCAAAAAGATGTGAATGCGAAGTGCTTCTGTTATAAAAAGGGCTAAAAGTAAATTCTAGGGCCAATGACCGCCATATTCCTTACTACTATTTTTTGAGAATGACCAAGTAAACAAAACATTTGTTTTAAATCAGTAAAACTGAATAGACAAAAATCTGATATTAAAGCTTTTTTCTACATAAATTTAATATTTTTTAAGATTTTGAATAAAATTGGACAATAATAAATAGGAGTTTAGAGGTTCTCGGCTAACTCTTAATAATTCGAATATTAGAATACTAAATATGAATTAAAGTTCATTTTCGGTCTCGGATTTGTGAGTGACCAGTTTTTTACTATCATTTATGGCCGAGATACTTAATTTTTACTTCATGAATAACAAACAAAATTTTTCCAAAATTTTCTACGAACTCTAAAATTAAATAGTTTTGATTCTTTTAATGACTGATCCTTTAATAAATACATAAAGGTTTTTTAGTTAATTATTAAATGTCAACTTAATAATTCATTAAATTGCACTTAAAAGCTAATTAAAAGGCTAATTAAAGGGGATAATTAATAATTTAGTACATAATTTTATAAGAAAAAAACAATTTTGCTATATAAATTGGTTTAGCTAAAGGAGGGTGGTCAAGAGATTTTAAGAGAAGAAATGGACAATAAATAAATACTAGATAGGTTTTTTAGAGGAAAGAAAAATCGCCTAAGATTTTTTCCGGTCATTAAAATAGTAAATGTGAAGAAAAATGCTGTTTAGACTAAGGCCAAAAAACGAAAAAAAGCCATTTTGGTATTTCACTTCTGGAGGCAATTAATGACCAAAAAATAAAGAAAAGGAAGAAGATATTTAATAGTTGAGAGGAAATAAGCGGATAGAAAAGATTTGGAAGGTTATTTATTTTTTTATAATTTTTAGAGTAAATCAGGAAAAAAAGATGGAAAATTAATTGCAAAAAATAGTAAAAAAGTAAATTACTACTATTTAATTAATTAATTAAATTGTCTAATTTTTAATGGCAACTGTGTGGGGAAAAAGTTTTTTGGTAGAAAAATTGAAAAAAAATAATCAAACTAATGGTAAATTTTTTTAAAGATTCTAAAAAAACTTACAAATTAATACAATCATCTTTAGCATATCGATAATTTTTAGTTCCGTCAGATTTAAGCATTGAGGAAATAGTTGTTGATGAATGTCTTGTAGAATTATTTGTATCTGAAGTTATTTTACGTGGTTCTGATAGCCTTTCAATTACTTGTTTGTTGTTAATTAAACCTTAAAGAATTTGTTTAAAATTATTTTTCTGATGAAAGCTATTTTTAAAGCTTTCTTTTTAACAAAAATGTTTTGATGAAAAAATTGAAATTTTTTTATTTAATTTTAATTTAATAAAATTATATTTAAAAAATATTTGTAGTAAGAATTATTCTCATTTGTTCTCCCATAGAAAATTGAAAAAATTTCCTTTTAAAAGATTAAAAAACAAAAAATTAAAAACATAAAAATTATAGAATTGATAATGTTAATTTAGTTGACAACTCTACCCTAATTTTTAAAATTGGGGTAATTAGGGATTAAATAAAATTAATTCAAAAAAATATTTGTTTACCAATTTGTTTATTACCTTTTTCTTTTGTTTGCTCATTTTCTCTTCTTTTCAATGTCAAAATTTCAGGATTTTCTCTTAAAATTTCTCCACTTGTCCCAGGGATTGATTCTAATTGTTTTATTTTTTGTGGCATTTGTTGTTTTGGAGAATTATTTAATTCTTTATTCGGACAATGAATTGCTGTTCTAACAGAGTCTAACGAATCTTGACTTGTTGTGGAATCATTAGAAGCAGCAGTTATGGCCAAACGAAAATGCTGAATTTGTTGTTGATTTTGGTGTAAATTCTTCGATAAAACTTCTTCCTCGTTGGGGGAAGAACTTGAAGAAGAAGAGGAAATACAAGGAAGGGCTAGAGAAATTTTGAAAATTAATTTAGAGACTTTATTTGATATTAAAAAATAAAAGGGAAAACAAAATTTCTAAACCGATCCTTGGCCTATTTACTATATTTATTTTCTCCTTTTTTTCTTCATTTAATTCATTTTGACTAGCCATAAACATAAGTAATGCAATTAGTAAGTACGCGGACAAGTGCCAATTTTGTGGCCAGTCGAGAAGTCGATATATTAAAAATAGAAAAAAGGGAAAGGATAAAAATAGAAAGAAAATATATGCGCGAATAAATAATTAATAATTCTTTTTTTAATATTATATAATATTTGGAAAAAATATTTTTTGTAAATTATAGCGGAAAATATATTAATTTACTCTTTAATCGTTGAAATAATTTTTTAAATTTATTCATTTAAAAAATATTTTATTTTCTCCAAAAATAAATAAATTATTCTGTTCATGCAAAGAATTGCGCGGATATATTAAATTAATAAAAAAAAAGACAAGAGAATGAAAAATTACATTTAAAAGAAAATGCTAATATTAATGAATGAATTGAGGATATACTAAATGATAAATTTACTGAAAATGAAAAGAAAATACATATTTTAAAAATAAGTAAAATATCTATTGTAATTATGAAAAAATAATTTATTTAAACTATTATGTATAAGGAGATTTAGCCAAAATTTAAATACTAGATTCCTTTGTATTAAGCATTGCTAGGTTAATAATTAGGTAAAGTAAATTAATTAAAACTAAAAATACAAAAATTAAAAAAATATTTTCTTCAAATATTCAAAACTTTATAAATAAAAATAAACAAAATCAATTGCTAAATACAAATTTTTATTTTTATATTTTTGTGTTTTGTTTATTTATACAATGTTTTACAACATTTTTACAATAAATTTATTTAACTAGAAAATAACAAAAAAATAAATACAGCCATTTTTCTTTTTAAAAAATATTTTTTGTTATATAGATATTTTTTGTCTGTTGTTCAAAAAAATATTTAGATTAGGGTCAGACTATTAAATAATTTTTTAGTCTATTAATAACTGAAACAGCATGAATTTTCATTTTTATTAATGCAAAAAATATAAAAATGCGCAATATTTTTGAGAATTAAAATTGTAAAGGGATCCAGATACAGCCCAAAAGATGTTTTTCAAGTTTGATTTGACTCCCGATCTTATGTCAATTTCTTTCTAACCACAGCAAAATTCGGCCCGAAGAGATTGGATTTTATTTATGTATATATTGAGGAATAAAATAAATGAATGGACACAATGTATTGTTCTATTTATTTTTTTAGTTAATTAATAAATCTTAAAAATAATGTCTAGTTGGAGAAAATAAATTGATAGAATTAACGGAAAGAACACAAAAATGAAGAAGAAATGATTAAGAGCTGCGCCAGAAAAAATAAAAAAGAGGGGGATTTGAAGAGATTAACAAAATTTTGAACTAAATAGAAGATAATAAGAACTCAAGAGGGGGAAATGAAATAAATATATGTATGTAGTAAATGAATATTTTATTTAAGAGAAGGGGGAGGAGGTGGACAAAAATAAAAAAGTTTTTATTATTTAAATAATAATAGAATTTTATTTATAAAAAAGTTTTCTTGTAAAGGTCAAATTTAATAAATAAATAGGTGAATTTTGTTTATATAATTGAGGAAAATAATAGAAAAATAAGAGAGAGAAAAACAAACGGAACCTGTTTTATAATAAATATAAACTAATTTTTAATAATTCACATAATAATTATTTATTATGTATAGCTATTTCTCCCTCAATAATTATTTTATATTAAAATAAAAAGAAAATTGGCAAAATTAACGAGCATGGACAAGAAAATAAAAATAAATTAAATAAATTTTGAATAGAAAAATAAGTTTAGAAATTTTAAAAAATTATTCGGATACTTAAAAGTAAAAAGAAAATTGGCAAAATTAACGAGCATAGACTAGAAAATAAACTAGAGTAGCAACCCGACCCCGACCCAAAAGTCAACCCCAACCCCGAAATGCCTTCACCTGTAAACCCCGATCCCCGACACATCCGCTCCCGAAGGGTCGGGTTGCACTCTAATATAAACTTTTAAAATTTTTAATTTTAAAGCTAGGTTGAAAAATTTAGGGTCTTTTTTTCGTTAAGAGAATTTGTTGGATTTATAAAAGACCCAAACAAAAAATTTTTTTTCATTAAAAACTTGCCTTGTAATTCACCCCTCAATTGCCCATTATTACATAATTTTGTTGGTGCTAAAGGTGGGGGCATTAAGGGAGATTGTGGACATTCTTCTTCCTCTCTAATTATTTTTTCATTTCCTTTAGGTAAAATTTTAGTTGTTTTTGTTGTTAAATTATTTTCTTTTGTTTTAATTTTCCCAATTTTTGTGGTTGATGTACTCGGTAATAATATTTTATTTAAATTTGAAGGTTTTTTTGTTAAAATTTTCTTTTCATCTTTTTTTGATGAATCTACTTGATTACTAGTAGAGGTTGAGGAGAAAGTAGAGGAAGAAGATTTTTGTTTATTATTATTTTTTTCTTCATTATTATTTACTGAAAAATATTTTAATTTTTAATTAAAATATTCTTAAATATTTAAATACTTTTTTCTTTAAATTTGAGGGGCTCTTCCTTTTCCTCAATCAAAGGAATACCCATTGTATTATCAATTATTGTTTCAACATTGTCCAACGTTCTGTCTCGATCATTATTTAATATAAAATTATTTTCATGTTTTTGTAACATTGGACTAACAACACCAACTGCCACATTTTCTCTATTTCTTTTTTGTTGTTCTACTAAAGAAGAATCTGCAGATATATTTTGATCTGTAGATGGTGACACTATATTTGGTGAACAATTTGAATTTGAGGGTCGGCGTCTTTGGGTAGCTGGTGTTGTTGACAAAACGGATACGCCCTTAACTGCTAGCACCGGTTTCTTCTCCTTAAACAATTTGAATTTTAATTAGAATACAAGCAAAAATCGAGTGTGGAAAATTCACTTTTTGGTAAAACAACCCAAATGTTTGACTTGAAAATCTCGATTAAAATTTTTTTAACCGAGACCATTATTCCATAATAAAAATAATTTCAACAAGTATTCATGAAACATAACATGAATTAAATTTATCTACCAAAAATAGGCGGCGAAAATTGGCTGCGCCGAAATGTTCAAAATAAGCCTAAACCTTTGAAAGCCTAAACCTTTTGGTTTAGGCTTTATAGGGGGAATCGAAATGGACAATTCGGCGCAGAATTATTTGGCGTTAGGAAATTTTTGTTCATACATTTTAGAACTTAAAAGTTAAATTTTATTGCAAGAATAATAATTCACCGTGTTATTATTTTGAGGAGAATTTGTTGCTGAATAGCCCGATTTTGTTGATATTCTCGACATTAAAGGTTTCCCTCCAGAATTTGTCAAAATATTAGCTTGTTGTTTTTCATTTTGTTTTGTATTTTTATTTGTTGTCCTTCCAATATTCGAAGGGCGGATTAATTTAGAAGATTGTAATGGAAGTAGGGATTTAGGCCTGTCATTTCCAGAAAGGAGAGAAGAACGCAAAGAGGCAGAGGCGTTTGATGTACTGGCTACCATAGATTGTGTTGCGCTTGTTGGCATTGAAAAACACTTGAAAAATAAATATTGAAAATATTCTTCTCAACAGTTGGGGCAGTTTCAATTTTTCTGGTTTCGACAGTTCCAAGCATTTAGGAGCAATCTTTATATAATTATTCCCCGAGACAAATATTTAATCGCCACTAAATTCAAATCAAATTTACCTGCTTCCTTTGTTTTGTTTTATTATTTTCTGTTGAAATATTAGAACATTGACTAATATTCAATTCTGCCGAATCGGGTGGAGATAAAATTGTAGAAGTATTGCTAGAAGACATTTGTGTGGGACAAGGAATTGTTGAATTATTTAATTTATTTGAAGGTGATTTTTGTTGCAAGGAGGAGGAATATTTTCTTGTGGACGAAGAAGGGGTTATTAATGAGGAAGAATTGTTAGTTATTCGTTTATTATTTGAAGGCCCTTGTTTTGATAAAGATTGTTTATTTGTTTGTGGTGGCATTATTTCAGAATTTTCTTTTTTGTTAATTTCCTCTTGTTGTTGTTGTTGTTGTGTTGATTTTAACTAAAAATTTTTTTAATTAAAAAATTATCAATTTAATTTTATAACAATTAAAATTATAAGCAAAAATTCTCAATCGATTTTAAGTAAAATTCTATCAACTTTTTTGTCATTTATATTTAATTATATAAATTTATTTTAAAAGAAAGTTTGTCCAAGTAATTGACAGACGATGATCTCCTTTCTCTCATTTATTAGAAAGGATCAAAAGAAAAGAAAATAATAATCACTAACTTTATAATCAATCATATTTGAGCTAAAAATGTCAAAACAAATTCTAGGGATTTTATAAGATAAAAAGTTCTGATCATTTTAGGATATTTATTAAGCATGTAATTGGAAATATGTATTTTTTCAAACTTGACCAGCAGTGCTTCGAAATTTCAAATTTGCTCGTACTCGTACTTCGTACCAGGTACGAGTACGAATTTTGATACGAGCTTCGAAGCACTGTTGGCTAGTAAAGATTGAAATTTTCATGGATTATTCTCTGGCCTAACCTTTAATTCATAGAGTTATTAACAAGATTTTAATCTCTATTTTAACTACATAATTAATTTGATTTAATTTTACTACTTCTCTCAACTAATTTAAATGTTAAAAAAAGTCAAAATCATCAAAAAGCGGTAAATCTCTTTGAGGATATGAAAATAATAAAAATTGAAAGAGATATGTATACCTATTTATTTACTTTATACCTACTACATAACAAAAAAAGTAAATAAATAAATATATAAAACTCTCCTCCAAATGCCCACTTTTGAATTACCAACCGAATTGACAATAATAACATATTAAATACAACTGTTGCTTATTTTAAATAAAAATAAGGAACTGAATGATGAGTGAAAGTTTTTGGAAGGGGAAAAACAAATGGACGATTAAGTTACTAAAAAGAATTAAAGGAATGGCCTTGAGGGGAAGAAAAAAAAAGCAGAAAGTTAATATTTGAAATATTATTACAATTGCAGCTGTACAAAATGAGGAAAAAATGAAATAAACACTTTCCCCCTTTTTTTGATTCAAATGGAGTGAAAAATTATTTTTCTTACTGAGAGAATTAATATTGCTTTGATGGAAATAAAAAAAATAATTAATTAAAAAATTTTTTACCTTTTCAAATTCTTGAATTTTTTCCAAACTTTCATTACTTCTAGCCATACTTGATTTAATGTCCTCATTTTCCTCAGCTAATTTTTTCTCCAAATTTTTTGTACTTAATTTTCCTTCTTCATTATTTTTTGTAAAATGCTCTTGATTTTTTGTTTTATTGTTTTGTTCGGATTCTGAGCTATTTAGAGGACTAGATTGAATGTTACTATTATTTATTTTATCATTTTGTAATTGTTCATTAAATTTTTCTGTAGTTAAAACACCCTTAATTAAAGTTGATTATTAAATATTAAATAAAAAATATTATTTTGAGGATCTTGGAAGTTTTTTAGGTTTTGGGAGATTTCTGAATATTTTTTAAATAAATATCAAATTTTAAAAATAAATCAGATGCTGAAAATTAATAACAATTTTAAATTGCCCAGATTCTAACCCAAAAAACGATTTTATTGGTCAATTCATTTAATTTTTAATTTAGTAATTACATAAATTTGATATTAATTTTAAAATTTACCTTTTCTTCAATTTCATCTTGTTTAACATTATTTACAATATTGTTTTTAATATTTCTTCCAATTAAATGTTTTGAAGGCATTCGAAGTGCTGATTTTGTACATAATATAGAAGCTGGTTGACTAGATGTAGAAGGAGAAGGAGGAAAGTTTAATAAAGGTTTTTGAGGTAATGGAGGAGGAGGAGGGGGTTTTTGGGGGTGTTGTGATTCTTGTTGACATTTAAATTGAATTTTTGAAGGAGAAGGATTTTGAAAAAAAGAATTGTTTATATTAATTGTTGAGGGTAATTCTTCTTTTGGATTTAATTGGTTCGTTTTAAATAATGAAGAATTAACATTTTGTTGGCTAAAAAATAAAATTTCAAAATTTATTTTTATTAAAAAATTAATTTTTAAGGTAAAAAATAAAAGTAAATTAAAAATAAAAATATGTTATTTTAGCTATTAAATCATGCAATTTTTACAGACATTTGGGGGAAAAATAAAAATTTCTTTTGTTAAAGTACCTATCTTTTTATTTGTACACATGTATCAAAATATTTATTTTATTATTTTTTGGAAAAAAAAACATTTAATAAAAAATCTAATAAAAAATAAAAAAATATTCTTAAAAATATATTTAATTTTAAAAATATTTTAAATTAATTTTTAAATTAATTAAAAAATTAATTACTTTTTGTGTTCATTTCCATTATTTACAACAATAACTTCTTTAACACTTTTGCCACATTTCAGATTATTAGGTATTTTTAATTGTGTTGATTTGTTAATAGAGGTAGTGTTTTGTTCTGATTTATTTAAATTTGGTGTTTGAGAAGAATTTTTTGAAGAAGAATATTGAATAGAAGGAGGTGGAAATGATGGAGGTTGAGGACCTGAAATTAATTGGAAAAAGTAAATTTTATTGTTAAAATTAATTTTAAATAAAGTGAATACTAGAAGTTTCATTTAAGAAAATATTTGTAAAATTAAAAATCAAATATTAAATTAACAAAAATATTTAGTAAAAATACTTTTTATATTTTTCTGTATATCACAAAAATTCATTTTTTACATTGGAAGTGTTTTTTGATTTGTAAATATATAAAAGTTGATTAGTAATTGAGAACGATTATAATATTTTTAAATAGATTTTATGTATGAATTTAATTAACTGAATTAAATTAAAAATTAAAAGAAATATTGAAAATAATTCTGAAAAATAAGAAATAGAAAATTAAAGCCTTGAATATGTGGAGAAAAGGACAAGCTTGTAGTAACTTTAAATAAAAACCGAGAATTGGAAACACTTATGTATTTTCGATAAATCTCGTAATAATGTGACATGAAATGAGAAATTAAATAATATTAGTTCCAGAAATATCTTCAATATAAAAAAAACTTAAAAAATATTAATTAAATTAATAATGATTAATTTGAATTTAGTAAAAATTTTTGTTACTTTCCCTCCTAAATAAATAATAATTTTAAAATAAATAGTGTTGGGAAATAAACTATTTCATTAATTATTCTTATCAATTTAACTTTTAAATAAATTAAATTCTTACAATTTTGTTGAGTGCTTGTTGAATAATTCTTATATTTAATTCCAAAATTTGAAGCAATTTTAGATGCTTTATTTATTAAATTATTATTTTGATTTAATTTTTGATAAATTCTTTGATTATTAACATTTTTTGAATTTTGTAAAAATTGTTGTTCTCTGTAAGAAATTGTAGTATTAGGAGAAGTAATAATTATTTTATCAGTTCTTTGTTGATTTTGGAGACGATTAGTAATTGGAATTTTTTGAGGAATACGAAGAGATGATGATTGGTGTGTGCTGGAAATAATTTAAAAAATTATTTAAATTAATTCTTATAAAATTTTCTCTAGTTTTTTTAAAATTTATTTTAAATTAAATAAAATTAAATTTGCGCTGAAAAACAAAAAAATAAGAGAAAAATATATTCAAGTTTAATTTTAAAAATAATCTTCAATATATATTTTTATTTATTTAATCTCCAAACCAATGCCGGCTGGCACTGAAGGAGGAGAAAAAAGAAGAGTATTATAATATATAAGAATATAAATTTAAATATAGAAATGTCACTTGTCACCACCCATGACAACACAAAATTATTATTTTAAAATATAATTTTTGACCTAAAACATTGGTCAAAAAGAAGAAAAAAAGGAGAGAAAAGAAAGAAGAAGCTATTAAAAAGTGAAAAGCCTAAAAAATAAAAAAAAATAAAAATTTTAAAAAATTTTAAAGAAAAAATAATTTAAATTATTTTTTTAAATAAAAATAAATTCTCGATCATCTCGCAATATTAAAAATTCAAAAAAAAGGAAAGGACTAGAATAAAATAAAAAAATTATCTTTAAAAATATCTCAAAAGATTTTTTCCTTTTTTTGTTTAAAAAATTTTACGGGCAACAGTTTTACGCTTGGAAGAAGCTCCCATCAAACACATCAGAATTTTTTGTATTAAAAAGCAATGATCGAATATTTAGAAAAAAGAAGCAAAACAAGCTTCAGAAACAGCTATTCCCCCTTCAGGGAATTAAACACAAATTTTTTTCTTTCCGCGCCACCCAACTATTTTTGTTTTTAGATGGACAACGGCACAAAAAATGAAAAGCTTGGACGTTTATTTAGTTGGTTGGCAATATATACTGACATTTTTGGGAGGATTTTTGTTGGAGAGATGAAAGGGGGAGAGAAGGAAAAGGCCATAAAAATTTTTCTTTTTTTCTACGTCCGTTTTGTGATGGTCAGTAACCAATTAAATAATGGTTTTTATTACAGAGACTTTTTAATTAGAATAAAAATTCCACTAAAGTGTATGAAATGAGGAAAAGGGAGAGAGAGGGAAATTAAAAATTGAGAGAAAATAAATAAAATTTAATTTAAAAAATTTAAAAAAAATAGATAATTGATTAAAATTAATAAAAAAAATTTTTTTTAATTTTTTAAGAAAGTTAAATAAAATTTAATTAAAATTTAATTAAATCTTTTTAACAAAAAATCCCTTACCTTCCAAAACGTTTCTCTTCATTATTTTTATTGTCAATATTTGTTTCTTCATTATTTGAGCGAAAATTGAGCAAATTTGGAGGCATTTTAAAGGCAACTCTGTGCTTTTGTTTTATACGTTTTTTTGTTTCCTCCTCCTCAGATATATTATTGTTGGATAATAATATTCGTTTTTTATTTAGTTTATCAGTTGTTGTTTCTTTTAGATTATTTTTGTTCTATGATTTATAAATAAAAGAATTATTAATTTTTTAAATAAGTTAAGTCGGACTTCTATGTAAGTTTTTTTTCTAAATAACACATCTAAATAATAAATAATTTTATCAATTTTCGTTAAAATGGTTTACAAACTAAAAATATTTTACAAATAATCCCATGAGTAGTCAAAATTAAAACATTGCCATTTTATAAGATACATAATTAGGTAACGGGTATTTGAATTGCTCTACAAAGCTGGTTTAAAACTGGCAATCTGCTCGTATAAAAATTAGAAAATTTGGTCATACTTAGCAAAGAACTAAAGATCTCGGTTATCGCTATCGAGATTGTAAAATTTTCTCTTCGATCACTAAAGTCGGGTCCCTATTGCTAGTTCAAAATATTACAATGTTAAAAACACAAAATCTAAACATAGAAATCCGACTTAACTAATCATCCCAAATAACCTTTAATAGGCCCTCCTTCTCAATACTTCCATTAACTGTAGAAGAATTTCCACTAATATTTGTGTGGCAAACACTTCCGTAGCCAGATGATGAACTGCACTGCTCGTAAATGTGTGAGGCTGATGTCTTTGTGGAAGAATTAGAAGAACAAAAAGAGGGATTTGACAAATGTTTTGGTGACTAAATAAAATAAAATAAAGAATTAATAAATTAAATGTTTTTGTTAAAAATTAAGGAAAAACATGTATGTAGGTATATTATTAAACAACTGTTTTTTTGCAGAATAAAAAATTTTTTTATTTTTTACTTGTTGCTGTTGATTATTGAAATGGACACGTCTTTGATGAATGTTTTTATCTTCTACAATTTTTCTCTTTTGCCTTTTGTATTCCGAAAGTTGGTGAAGAAACTGTAAAATGGCACCTAAATGGCCGTTTCTGATATCTGAAAAAAAAATTTTAATTTGAATGATTTGAATTCAAAATTTCCAGATTTTATTGGTTAGTTTCTAGGTTCCTCTTAATGAGAAATTTCTAGATTCCTCAATAGGTTTCTAATTTAGAAAATTAATGTTAAATCAGACTTGTGCATGGATACGGATAATATCCGGATATCCGCGGATACCCGCGTATGGATATGACTAAAAAGTTGGACGTATATATCCGGATACGGATAGCAAAATCCGTATCCATGCACAAGTCTGTGTTAAATAGAATAAATATTAAAATAATTAAAGAATTTTGAGGTCAATAAGCTAACGGATTTCAACCTCCAAAAAATTTAAAACTTAAAAAATTATTTTTAATATATTAATTTTAAATAAAAACCACAAATTTAAAATAAATGTATTTTCTTATAATTATTCGAGAAATGAAAAAAGGGTGATTAAAATTTATTTAAAAATGAGTAACCAATTGTTGTTAATTATTCTTCAGGAGAACGGAAAAAATTGAGGCGGAGAGGGGGGATATAAAAATGAGTAATGGGTGTGTGAAAATGAGAATAAAATAGGTAGCTAAACATTAAAAAAAGAAGTGAGAAATACTTGTTTTTTGTGGCTTGAAAATTTTAATAAAAAATGACGGAAAGATTAAAAGAAAATTTTAATAAAAAATTAGTGTTAAATAAAATTAAAATAAATATTTAAAAAAAAATAATTAAATAATTTTTAGAATAAAAATAAATTGTTAATTTTAACGATGAGAGAATTGTGTAATATTTATATTAAATAACCAATTGTTTAGCTACTTAATTCCTACAAACGACCTTTTCTTTCTTAAAAAATTCTTTTCAAGTCAATTAAAAAATAAATTTCCCTGTGTGATTCATTAAAGCATTAAAGCAATCTTAAATTTAGCTATTAATTTATTTGTTTTTGAAGGAAAAATAAGGGAAATTTTTGTTAAAAATTTGTGTAAAATTGGCTATTTTAGTGAGAGAAAATTTAAAAAAATTTAAATTAAATTTAAAATAATATTCTTTTAAATGTCCTTAATTTTTATAAAATTTTAAATTAAAAAATTACGTAAATGGAGATTTTCCTATAATAATCAAATCAAATTATTATCAATTACTTGATTATAATAATAAGTGACACAAATATATAAAATCAAAAATATATTTTATGGGTGGTAATATAAATAATAAAAAGGGATTACAAGAATGTTTGTGTCTTTTAGTAAAAGAACAAATGCGGAACTGATTGGCATTTCGAAGGAAAAAAGGTGGTTGGAGGGTTGTTTGTAGGTAATCAACGGACAGTTACTACTAAATATTTAAAAACAAACAAGAGTTTATTTAATAAAAAGCAAAGAGATTTAGGTAGGTAGGTAGTAGTTTGGCGCCGTAAAAAAGAAGAAAAAAGCGGTGGAATGCTTTTGACTTTAATTAATATATTTATTTGCGCACCAAATAAAAATAAAAAGAAGTTCACAGAAATGGTGATTGAAGGTATATTGAACACTAATGAGTGGTTTTGATGAAAAAAAGAAAGAACAGCAATCAAGAATTGATAGAAATAAATTATTAAAAAGGAAGGGTAAAAAAATATATAAAATACTTTATATATAAAAAAAGTAAAAGTAAAAGTAAAATGTTTAAAGGTTATCTGATTTGGGTAGGGAACGAGGGCGAGAGTGGAAGAGATAATCCCGTGTTAGTCGAGATTATGATTGTTTTTTTACTCAAGAAAGGATTGTTCTAGCCCTGAACCTGAATGTTTTTTTGGGTTCGACAACCCAGATAGTTGTATGGTACAATTAATTATTCCATGCATGCTAATTATAAATTGTAAGTTAAATTAAAAGTTTTAAAAATTAAATCATTTTTTAGAAAAAAATTATTTATAAAATCATTCTAGAAAATAATTTAAATTACAAAATAAAACATTAATATTTCTTTAAATTATTAACCAAACTAAAATATTTTTTAGATAAGCAAAAAAGTATTAAAAAAAAGAATTATATTTTGTAAAATAAATATTTTTATTTGTTTGTTTTACATATAAAATATGTAAAATGATCCTTTCTTGAGTAAAAGGAAGGTGTGAATGATAATAAAAAAAATAACTAAAAAAATAAATTTTTATTTAGATAATAATTATTTTTATAAAATTATTTAATCTTTAATAATGTCCTTGACATACAAAAATTTTTAAATAATTTTTAATAATTATTACAGAAATAAAAAATAAAAATATTTTTTAAATATTTTTTTCCGAAACTTGAACATAAGAAGATTAACTTTTCTGTGAAGAGAAAAGAATACTATTTTAAAATGATGATATATTTTTTGGACATGTTGACAAAAAAAATGAAAAAAGAAGATGATCCTTCCCTTTCCGTCCAGATCTTTTCTCTTCAAAAACATTTTTAAATTTTTTTATTTATCTCCGCTATTTGGCCGTGACTGCCGCCGGCTGGTGAGCTCAAGCAAAAGCTTAGTAAATGTGAGAAGAACAAAAAAAGTTGATGGAAATATTTTAGTAAATAAAAATGAAGAACAAAACAAGCATTTTTTAAATAAATGTTTTTAAAAGTTTTACAGAGAAAAAATGATTTTAGTATTTTTCTTTTAAAATTAAGTATATTTTACTTGATTTATGGAAAAAGTAAAGTGAAAATAATATACTATTATATAAAATATTTTTGAAAATTATTTAAGTATTAATTGCCGTAAAACCTGTATTAATTACCCTGGGTAATTATTGTTTCTAGCTCTCGATGGAAGGAGTATGTAATTAATAGATGTGGGGTAATTATTTTAAGGAGGGTAATAAATAGTTTTTACAGTTGTTTTTAATAAATAAAAAAAATATTGAATTAACTATTTTAATTGTTCAATATTATTATAGTAAAAATATGTACAATAATGCTTGTTTAGTTGGCCAATCAATTTTAATAATAAATAAAAAAATTGATAGTTAAAAAGCATATAAAAATAATATGTAGAAAATAAATTATTTTAAAAAATTATAAAAAAATATTAAAGAATAATTATTGTTAGCCAACATAAATGAAAATAATCTTCTCCTATCTTTTAATTTAGCTTAAACAAAAATATTTTTATTATATAAACATTTTTATGTCCAAACAAATTTATTTAAAGGCTGTTAATTCTGATAAATAGAAAAGTTAATTATTTATATAGTTAAAGAATGAGGGATTAATTTACTAATCATATAAAGAAAAAATAAAAGATTTAATTGTTTGTAAAGAAAAAAACAGGAAAATAAATAAAAGGTATTTAGTAGCGATAAATAAATATTTAAACCAATTAAATATTTATTAGTATATTAACAAAAAGTAGGAGTTTGTAGGGAGCAGGAGCATAACTTCGTTCAGAATTGTCGAATCCGTGACGCCCTGGTATGGTTCGATGCGCCTCGACGAGCTGAATCGAATCGTACAAGGGCGCACGATCCGGATTCGACAATTCTGAACGAAGCCCTTTCTCTCTCTGCGGTACCTTGGGGTGTACTCGAGTTTGAAAACGGTAATTCAAAAAAGTCGAAATGAAAAATATGAATTTCTATTTTTGGTAGTTAATAAACTGAAAGTTTTTTTTAAATCTCTGCGTTTTAGCCGGCCAACTTATTTAGTTGAAGCAGACAAAATAATTTTTAAATATTTCTTTAAATAATAATTTACCTCTAGGTTTAATATCCTCAATATTTACACCAATATGCCGACAAAAATCTACACAGTTTTCGATAATATTAACTGGCTCCTCTGCTGCCATTTTGTTAATTAATTGTTCTAAACTTATATTGTTGAATTCAACAACTTTAAAAAAATATTTTTTAAATTAATTTAGAAAAAATTCACAAACTTATTGAATAAATTAAAGGTATTAATTTATGTGGAAGACACAATTCGCCAGTTAAATCAGTCAAAGGAGGTAGTTTAGCTCGCAATAAGTGATGATTGGCCCATTCTGTATATACCTAATAATTTTTATCTATTTTTAAGTAATTAATTTTCCTATATTTATGCATCTTTAATCAGGGTTTTTATCGATATTTACTAATCTAAATTAATTTCTTTTCCAAATTTTTTAGTGAAAAAATACAACTTGTTTAAGAATTGAAAGAATAAAAAACAAAAAAAAATAATTTTATACCACTCTAGCTTGAATTAAATGGTTAGGAAAAATATTTTGCTGATTTTTCCGTTGATTTTTAGGGAGATAATGTTTTTCATTAATTTGATGTGTTGGAACAGAATTTAAATTAATGCCGTCATCCATATTAGATTTAAACAATTTTCCTCTTCTTTGAATAAACGGAGAGGATTTTGGTAAGGGAAAGGGAGAAAGAAGTGAGCCGTGAATATTGGGCATTTTTTTATTATTTAAAAAAATGATCATTAGAAATAAATAAATTATTTTTAATTTTTTTAATCAAAAGTTAAAAGTACAGCCAACTCCGAGATTTTTTAAAAATTTTCTATGAATATTCTGTCTATACCTAATACCTAATTATTTTAGAAAAGAAAGTAAATTGATAAAAGGACATAAAAATAACTAGAAAATATTTTTAAGAAATGCAAGTGACAGCCTAATATTTTCCAAACCTTTCCAAATCTTTTTTTAAAAATTTTGTTAAAAGATAAACATTTTAAATTATTATACATAAATATTTTTTAAATTAATTAAAAATTAATTTTAAATCTAAAAAGAAGCCAAACAAAAATGAAAACAAAATTTACAATCGAAAATTTAATAAAAAGTATGGAAATTTTCTTTAAAGTAAAATGAAGGCAAAAAGTATAGAAAAGTGGATGAAGCCATTTATTTAGCTTTTTTGTCCAAATAATTTTTCTGGACTTTTTCCAAAAACTCTTCATTTGCGCAAAAGCTTTTTAACTACTAAAAATGTGTGAAAAAAAGAAAATAAAAAAATCTAAAATTGCTAAAAAGTAACGAGAACAAAATTTTGCGCAGATTAGCCTGGACAGGCTTCTAATAAGTCAGTCAAACTCAGAAAAAAAAGTTAAAGTGGACAAACGAAATGAAAGGGGGGAGGGAGGGAAAGGAGGAGGGGTAGGGGGCAGGGGAGTGGAGGGTGTTCTTAGTCAATGTCCAGTTAGTTACAAATTCCCTTGCCTTATTTATTTATGTCCAACATAAATTAGTTCATAAGACGAAAGAATTTTTCAATTAAATTATATTATAGCTAAGGCAACAAACAAAT